AAAGCCGGGACGAAGCACTCCGGGTTCTCACCGGACCAGGCTCTCACATCACCAAGCGCGAAGCGCCGTGAGGTATTCGGCGAGTCGCATGAAGGGTGAGCAGTATCCTGCTAAGGGTGTTCGGCATCTTGTGCTTACTTCCTTGCGTACGGATGACAGCTGCGTATGACTTCATTTATTTTCTGGTGCTTTTACTTCCAGAGACAGTTGTAAGCACTGTGAACTGCCTCGAGGATGCTTGACGATTTTAACACAACGTGGTGCGATCATCCCCCTTGTGCGGAGTGGGGGGTTTCCACCCCGCACAACATGATCTACTCCACCACCATTATGGTTACCGCAAAAAAAAAAACCAAAGGTAGAAAAAAAAGCGGTAACCTGGTTGGCGAGCTCACGAAGTGATCGGCTTGTTTTACAACATCGCTGCCAAGCGACGAAAACCCAACCCCGATGGCAAACACCGGGGGGGGCGGCGTGTTTTACAACGTCGTTGCCAAGCGACGAAAACCCAACCCCGATGGCAAACACCGCAGGCGGGGGGGGGTACTCATAGTCGTGCATGCCGTAGTCGTTAGACCATTGACCTCGCATCCCTACAAAGCCGGGACGGAGCACGCCGGGTTCTCACCGGACCAGGCTCTCACATCACCAAGCGCGAAGCTCCGTGAGGTATTCGGCGAGTCGCATGAAGGGTGCGCTGCATCCTGCTAAGGGTGTTCGGCATCTTGTGCTTACTTCCTTGCGTACGGATGACAGCTGCGTATGACTTAATTCATTTTCTGGTGCTTTTACTTCCAGAAACAGTTATAAGCACTGTGTAACTGCCTCAAGGATGCTTGACCATTTTAACACAACGTGGTGCGATCATCCCCCTTGCGCGGAGTGGGGGGTTTCCACCCTGCACAACATGATCTACTCGACCACCATTCATGGTTACCGCAAAAAAAAAAACTGGTAACCTGGTTGCCGAGTTCACGAAGTGAATTGGCTTGTTTTACAACGTCGTTGTCAAGCGGCGAAAACCCAATCCCGATGGCAAACACCGAGGGGGGGGATTTGGGGGGGGGGTCCTTTTCTTACGTATAGCCCAAAACAATATTTGGCCTTTCTACGCGGAGGAATGGTGGATTCCTCGAGCCCAAATTCTCACCTCGCAAATATTTCCAAGTATTCCAGCTGGCGAGCTAGAAAATATGTTCATTTTCTAACAGCGATCGGCTGATTTTTTCGCTGTGAGAAATGGGAGGGGTCATACGCCGATCGTGCCAGAACGAGGAACTACACCGTCTGCTCCAGTATCGTAAGGTCATCCACAAACCCCCTGCAAATATCAAAAGTTCAGGGCGTTCTGCGTCTTGTTGGCCGCACACGAGCCGAAAACGTCAACCCTGCCACTTGACTCTGCTGACGTGCTTGCCTTATCCGTTTTTGTACCTGTTGCATGTGTGACCAGTCAAAAACGCATGCCTCTTTAGGCTAACGACATTCACAAACTGCAGCCAATGGCGTGTGGTCATACACATACCGTCTGCTCGCGTCCCAGCAACAGGGCGAATTGTTCAGTGCTGATTGCACACGGTCGGCAAACGTGAATCGAAGTGTGTTTCGGTGTTCACTACTTATTGGACGTTGCCTTTCCGAGTGTGATCAGTCCACATTGCGTGCAAGAGGGAGGCCTGAGGCCGACGACATCCACAAACTGCAGTCAATGGCGTGTTGCCATACACATAACCCTCTGCTCATATCCCAGAAACAGGGTGAATTGTTCAGTTTTGATTGCCCACGGCCCGCAAACGTGAACTGAAACATGTTGTGACCCACAAAAATTTGAATCGGCCGTTCTTTTTCACTGGAAACTGGAAAAAAAAAATGTCTCGAGGAGCCGAAGAAGGTCCCTCGGATCTGAAATATTTTGCCCTCGCAGGACACTCCCCTCAGCAAAAGAGAGAACCAAAAAAAATCCCAGAAAAAATTTTCCAACTACCGGGACATAGGTTTTGGAGTATAATTAGATAATTGCGACGGCGAAGCCCGCTAATACAAGTGTAAAACCCATCTGAGGGCCGCACGCTTTCAAAATGTTGCACCTCTCTGAATCAATGAAGGAAAGGGGACACCAGAGCAGAGGTGTCGTCACCGCGGCGGCAAAGAAATCACCGTGCAGATAAGCTGCCATGCGGGTTGAAACATGCCATCAAGATGATTTATGTAGGGCGTTCTTTGCGTTCATTCCAAAGAACCCCTAATGAGTCAAGAGAGCGAAAAAGACAGCAGATCATAAACAGAGATAGATGCAGAGATGCCAGAGCATCATCATCATCCGTTACTTGAAGTGATATGGCGAGAGGAAGGGCGTGCAGACGATATAGAAACATGCACGGATCCCTGGGTATGGGTACTACTGCTGTACAGCCGTCGTCGTATGCATAGCTCGACTAAAATACGCGCGAGTGCGTGGTGTGTTTATGATCTGCCTCCTCGTTGTTTTCTAAGCTCTTCTTCGTGGTGCTGCCGCGTGCTGGTTATCGACACTCGGTGTGGGTTGAAGTCGCGAAACTTCGTACACACAGACACAGGAGTGGTCTCTGCTGGTTCTATCCTGCTGTAGGCGTATAGTATGCGCCAGTTGCAGCTCCCAGGCTACCGGCTGATGTGTGTTGGTCTGTGAACTGGTTGGTTCGAATGCGGTGCCCAGCAGAAAGTGGCATAATTGCCAAAATTACTCGAAAATAGAGAAGACGCCAAGTAGGCGCAGGGTTAAATGGAGGCAGGTGATTGGCGGACGCGAAGTTAAATCTGTCCCCCGGTGGCTTTGTTTGTTGCCAAAAAAATCGGTGCTCAAGAAACGGCCTGAAGGCTTTTTTGGTTTGGAATTTGGAATGCCTCCCCGCGAAATAGAGCCGGTCGCGGCGACGTTAGGCGTTTTACAGGTGCCATCCATGACTGGCCGTGCTTGGGCATGCGCGGCAATGTACCGACGTGCCTCCTGCGTGCCTCTGAGAAGGCAGCATGATAGAAAAAAGATTCGCTGCCGCCAGAGAAAATTGTCCCAAGCACATATAAAATCGAAATGACACATATCTGGGAGAAATCGACATGTGCGAGACCATGTGCCGAACCTGCAGTATGGAGAGGTGCAGCCTGAGAGGTGGGGAGGTTGAGAAAACACACGACCAGCAACTTGTTCATCTCTGGTCGATACCTCTCTTGCGAAAATGCTGCAGGCCATGTGATGCCCAATGCGATTGGTGTGGCCCAGCATGTACTCACCCCCGTGCATCTGTAAGCTACTTCTACATATAGTTTTGGGTGCCGTGCCTGGAGATACTGTATGCATAGAGTACTACTGCTGTACAACCGAGATTGCGAGACCCGAACGAAATAACATCACAGCAGTCTACCGCCTCCCTTGATTCGTAGATATGTCACAGAGACAGACAGTCACACACGTCTCACCTTCGGACATTGCAAGCGCTTGCGGTAGACTAGAGGATGGTTCGTGTGCAGGGGAAAGCAGGCCGCAGGTGGTGTGTACGTGTGTACCAGGTATCGCGTGCCGCGTGCTTGAGCTAGGAGAGACGTGCAAAAATGTACAGTAGATCTACGTTCTCTTGGAGTTCTTAGACAAATCCGGGAGAGGCATTCTCAAGTGCGGCGAAACTGCGTTCTAATCCTCCCGTGACCACGCCAGTCGGATCGCGTCCTAATCCCAACAACATGTTGAAGCATGTGGACGCCGTGTTGGACAAATGGCGGTAGAGCTCATCCAACAGTCCGCATTCCTCGCGGGCTTCCCCCCTGGTGTTCACACCAAGAAGGACGGTTCGGTTCGGATCAACGTCAAACCAGCGCTCAATGCTCTTTTGTAGATCTATTTAGATGGGCGGCCTCTCCCTCATTCACTGCTTCGCACAGTGCCGTCTCATCACATCCTCTTGCACAGCAGCACCGCACATACCACGCAGACAACATACGAGACAACCAGCACAGCAGTATACGGACTGATGCAGGTCGAGGGCAGGCAAAGGCACACGGCATAGGAGGCGTTGGGTGTGACTTTCGGGAGAATCCCCGAAATCCTCGCACAGCAGCAGCAGCACCGCACACACACACCACGCAGACAACATACGAGACAACTAGCACAGCAGCATACGGACTGATGTAGGTCGAGGGTAGTCAAAGGCACACAGCATAGGAGGCGTTGGGTGTGACTCTTACAGCCCGTTGCCTGCTGTCGGCAGCACAAGCGAGTGACGACGCAAGCAAAAGTCAATCAAGCTGCGGTCCGTCTACATCAATCATACTCAACCTGTCTGTACCGATCTTTGGAGCTTCCCACATAGACACATCCCCACAACAGAGACAACGAGACGTACACACCGCTGTAAGCCAAGGCCGGCCAAAGGCACACATCATGGCTGGCGTCGGAAGCTGTTTTTAGACCCCGAGGTCTCCTGCTATGTAGCAAAGCAGCGCAAGCGAGGGAACATGTGCGAGTGCACACAAGTCAAATCTGTGTCTGCAGTCTGTCTTCGTCTGCAGGCCGATCTTTGCTTTCTCCGCAGAAGCACCCCCGAAACAGGGGCAAAGTGAGACGTACACAACGCTGTAGGCCAAGGGCGGCCAAATATACACATCGTAGGAGGCATCGGGGGCGATTTTAGAGCCCGTTACCCGCTGCTAGATACTAAAATGAGAACAAGTTGGCAACGCAGCTTGCCGGCAACCGCGCTAATCTTTTTACTGGCAGTGCCCTCACCGCCGCACGTCACGTAGGCCCCAATAAGTAGTAAAGCGGGGCGGCTCGGCTCTCCACACATTTCTTCCACATGCCCAAACAGCGTTGTTACCCAGACAAACTACCGTGAGTCAATGCGCTTTCGTGTTATCTTCTTAACGGGGGCATTAGGTTTGTGGCGCCTGTTTCTCACCGACAGATCTCCTCCGTACAGCATATGTTTCGCAATCAATGAATCTATTCGTCGTCGCCGATACTAACACATTTATTTCTGCCATGCCTTGTACTTCTCCACCTCCTTAAAAAAGGTACCTACTCGGTCTCGAGCTTGAAATACATGACAGTAACCGACAAGACGCCCGGTACAACGACAGCAAGTAGCAGCGCAGCAATGACAAAACGACACGAACGACAAAATACCAAAATATATGGCGACGACAAACAATCAAAGTTGTTGACTTGTCGACGCGTATCTAGACTATGTACTCATGGCCCAAAACACTTCTTATAATATGATCAAGATGCCGTCAATAGTCGTCGCTACGAAACAACACCCCAGGCGTTACGGAGTTATAGCATCTCCGGAGAAGATGGTGCTTCGGGTTTGCGCGAGGGAGCAAAATTGGAATGTCTGGATCCGCCCTTTCACAGCAACACGATCTGTGCGCCCCTTTCGTTGAGCCCTTAGCCTCTCAAGACTGTTCTCCCTGTACATGAGGACGCTGTAATGATCTCCGACGAACCGTCACTGAGAGTGGGTAACAGCTGGCCCGTACAACAAATCCCTGCAACGCTAGAGAGTACAAATGCTCAAGAACAGCTAGAAAACCTCATGTCCACGAAATAATCTCGTGCACGTGCCTAAATAGCGTGCTTTCAACGCTGTTCTGAACTCCATCAACGCAAAATGTCGTAGGGGTTCCAAATGCAAAGCGGCAGCACGCTTGGCTTTTCATTTCCAAAGTTTTCAAAATTCAGGACGTCGTTGCACATTTCACCCAAAACCGTTCAGTTATCAGGCCTATTGGCTTGTTTCCAAAGTTTTCAATGTCCAGTCAACGCAGACGCAGCCGCGGCTGGACCATGTGGGCCTCCTCCCCGGCCACCTCGAGATGACTGCGGTCGTAGAAGTTCTTGATGTGGCCTATCGGGCCAAACTCTGGAGCCGTCGGGCGATGGTCCCACGCCATGTTCCCGATGTCCTGGGCCATGGTGCGGTACGGACCCATACGCTTCCCTGTGGACTGTTAGGTCGGGTGTTGTTCGTCGCGAATGCAGAAAGAGCGGCGAGATATACCTCTGAAATAAACAGTTATTTGCGTCGTCCAAGTCTCCGTTGATCGAGTTTGGTTGTTTCCGTTGCTGCTGTTGTTGTTGCTGTTTCGTACTGTTGGTGTTCCTGAACCCATCTCTTCCTCAGTTTTTAGCAGTTGGCTCACGTGTATCCCTACGAAGCGAACACACGGCACAGACTAGAGAGCAAAGAGAGAATGAACACTAAAAATGTGCAAAGTTTGCGTCCGAAGAAGACTCGATAGTAACACGATTTTGTCGTCTGAGATGCCAAAAACAAATGCTGGCGTTGTTCGAGGTACAGCAACTGTCGCTGCATACAACAGCACACGCGAATGCCAAGAAACGACGCCGATGTTTACTGGTTCAAAGTTCTGTAGCAAGGGATCTTAAGCCTTGGAACAGCCGTCCAATAAGAACCGCTGGCGATACACGCTCACCTTCTGAAAGTCGTAAAACGCATCGTGTTTTCGATAAGGGTTGAATTCATTTTGAAGGGAGCGGCCGACGTCATACAGGTGCTTGATCTCCTCCTTCCCTTCAACGAATCTTCTCGAGGAGGCGTGCTTGGCTTTGGCCTGCGCCACCTTCTCTCGCTCGTCCTGTCAGGCGTGTCGGTGAGATGTTGTGTATGTGTTTTCTTGTTGAATAGTATCGACCGCGCGAACCGGTTAATTAATAAACGATGGCAAACCCATTCAGTCCTTTGGCCGAGCACAACGAGACGAACATCCGTGTCTGTCGATTATCCTGATCAGGCACAGATTTCCACAGAAAAAGCGATTAATCTTTAAACTCTCTACAGCTGTTTGTATTACTGCTTTCCTTCCAGAACATTAGCTGTTGCGGTGCTGACTAGTCGTCCAGTAAGTCGATTGATAGTCAGTGCAGCTAGTCGGTCACCCATGTACCACTTCACATCCCGCTGGACGAAGATTATGTGCGTGGCAGTGTACGGGGCGAGCGTCTGCCCTTTTGGAGGTGCCCGTACACGTTGTTTGTTTGAAAGGCAACCCTCCTCTGCTCCTCGGCTAACCTGTACCTGCAGCGGGATCGAGTGGGCAAATCTGTCCTTCCCGGACACGCTCACCGTGCAAAACCTACGTGCAGTCTAGGCGATGGGGAGCTATTGTTCGATGAATTTCTCATCACTTGTTCTGCAATGTGAGAGACCCTGAGTCGTTCCTGCTCCTCCGGGGCAGCCTTTCGAACGCCCACCGGTGGCATCAATCTGCCAGACCGCCAGTTTCTCTCTCACACACCCTGACTTTCACCGTATCCTGCTACAGTATGCACGGGCCACACGTCCCCGAGCCAAATAGGTTGTGATGATAGATTCTTACCTTCACGTTCCGTGATGCGTTCATCAACCGCTGCTCCTGGCGGAGCATTTCCCTTTCCATATGTCAACACCAACGTGCGATGGCGACGGAATTGCAGCCAAGGAACCGTTGAGCGCGCGTAGAGTATTTGAAACAATGAGGAACAAGCTCTTGGTTCAGTGAAAGACGGACTTCAAGCACAGCGCGCCAAAGTCACTTTAACGGGGCAACGAGGCCCACCCAGATACTTTTCAAATACCTGTACTGCTGCGTTCGAATGGTGGCCGTAAATTCCCCCCTCTTGAAAGCATCCTTGGTACCGAAACCTAGGTTTCGCTTGCTCAGCGGCTGAGTCTTGGTGAACCGCTCTGTCTCCTGTAGCCACGAAGAATAGCAAGCATATGGGCACGGGCGGTACAAAAAACTGTCAGTGAATGCGCGCACATGAAACACTGACTACTGTAGAACCTGGGCCGTTGTTTTTCAAGCACCAACAACATGCAACGTTTCGATCAATACGGAAGGAGCCGAAATGTAGGTACCATTTGGTGCAGCCCTATATACAAAAATATAGTCTTATCGGTTAGTTTATGGCTCTGACTCCGGCCTCGTGTCTACCTATCTTCGTGTAAAACTACGATAGCAAGTGCTTTAAAATAGACATATTCTGCCATAATTCGCACTGGTTCAAGTCTGCCTACAGGCACACACGCTTGCCTGGAACGGCTCTGAGGAGTATTTGAGCTTGGCGAAGTTCCCGTTATCTGCGTTCGCCGGGCTTTGACAAAAAGGAGAGGGCGCGCGAAAGGAAAAGGAGGGGGTCGGTGTTCCTGCGAGGTTCGATCGTGGAGTCTTCGCCGTGATGCGGCTTGGTAGTAGGGAATAAAGCGCTTTCACAGGGGTTGTTGTGTGCCGGACTGCGTCATTACGGACTACAAGAGAACTTGTCTCCTTTCACAGACACGTTTCTCCGCGTCGAAAAGAAATGAATGTTGGTAATTGAGCAGAAGCCTCCGATGGAGGAAGGTAAAGGGACGAGGTTCGCGGGTGTTTTTCGTGGGACGTTGTACTGTTGACCTCCGGTGCGCGTCATAGAGCCTTTTAATAACCGCAAGAAACGTGGACCAACCCCCCCCTTGTTTTGGTTGCTCATTGAACCAATTAGGGGAAAATGGAAGAGGAGGAAATTGCGTCGAAACCCAAAGAGGTGTGTAGAACACAAGCAGCTGGAGAAACGCCAAGGAGAGAGTAGAACAGCAGTTTTACAAGTAAGTGCTGGGAGTATCGTGCTGGGTAGAAGTCAACGCCGGTTCTCTTCAGGTATAGTCTAAAACACAACAACAAAGGGCGCAACGTCTGGGGGGGAAGGTAGTGGATTGACACGCCCAGGTTCTATATAATAATCCTGGCAATTGGTGCCGAACGCGAGTGACCTCGGGTGTGCAGTCAGCCGTGCCCAGTATTTTCCCTGCGAATGACTTTATCTTTTGACGCATTCCAATGATGGAAAATGGCGATAACAGCTATTGGCGGCGTACCAAATTCATACCAGATAATATCGTAATATCCCCCCCTCGGTATGCTATCGAGAATCACTCGGGGAGCGGTAAGCTCTTAGGGGCAGGATTCAAGTGTATGCACAACGTCGATCTTATTGTTTTTGTTCGTTTGAGGATTGTTGCGAGCTCTGGCGAGAAGAAAGGGGCGGCGATGGTCGATCTCGATTGCTGTTTGCCAAAGCCAACTCGAGATTGTTTTGACCGGTTTGGAGATGGAAGCACCTTTCTTTCTACTCCGTGTTGAGACACGAGTGAGTTTGTCGGGAGATTTGGCAAACGTCTATCTCCTTTTGCACTTTTAAAGCCAATCTTGCACTCGCACTTCATCCCCCGAGAACCCTGAGAATGAAGGGGGAGGGGGGAGGTGTACTCATAGTTGTGCATGCCACAGCCGTTAGACCATTGACCTCGCATCCCTACAAGGCCGGGACGGAGCACGCCGGGTTCTCACCGGACCAGGCTCGGGGGGTGGGGGGTGGATTTTTTGCGGTATTTATGGTGTGGCTGTCGGTGCCATACATAGAGTACCGAAGAGCCGCGGGGCATACGCCTGCATCGTGGGGGGGGTATGAGTGGGATATTCTGTTGTCCCCGCCAGACGTGGTACAGCACAACAAGCAACAGGCGTTTATTGTACTGACCACAGCTTGCGAGCCGATCTGTTTTCATACATGGACGGGAGACGGTGGCCGCAATAACCCCCGCTGCTGCTCCACTTACCAACCCTCGGTCTGAAACTGTTTGCCCTTCCAGCGGCCGGGCAACCTCCTTAGCTCCTTGTAAGGGTCTCCGACGGAAATGAACCTGTTCCCTTCGACGATGTTCTTGTTCACGCGCTTGGTGCTATACATGGTTCGTTGTACTGTAAGAAACCCCGACTGGCCGGGCCACTACCGTTCATGTGGTTTATCTTGTCAGCTGTCTTCCTCGTGCAAGAGGGTAGTATCGCCCCCAGCAATAAAGAAGAGTGATGAGGTTGCCGTGCCCAACACGAGACAACTTTGTTTGGTCGTCCCGTGTTACCCTCCTCCGACTCCGATAGTCTGAGCGTGTCGCGTGTGAATTTCGGCAACAGCGCAGAGTTAATAGAGTATCGGCGAAAGCCACGCATGTGCAGCAAGTGAGGTTCGTGTTCAAACGACACGTGATTGCGCATGCAACGCATTCAAACCGATTACGGCGTAAATACTCGAATAGTATATAGGTCTTACCGTAGAGATAGACTACACTAAATGTATGCTACATGCACCAAGAATCCCCGAAATCGCTTTGCTCATTACTCAGCCTTTGTGCGGACAATGCGTAGGTAAGAGCTCTGGTTCTTATTACGTGTGCCTCGATCTCATGTTCGCAGGAGTCAGCGAAGCGTGGTCTATTCAAACACGCTGGTACCCCCACACATTAGCGATGCCTTACAAAACATGACAAACATGCGACACATGTCCGATTTATGTACGCGTGCACCACGTACAGTTTGCATCAGGGCGAAGTCATGTTACAAGCCCAACAGGTGGGAGCCGAGGACCTGTGGTACAACAACCATCAAGCCTACCGTGAGCTCACCAACAGAGGAGACAGACACAACGACACCTGACCTGTGAGCAGTGAGAAGGAGGTAAAAGGGAGAACCCAGCCAAGGGGGATGCAATTTTCTTTCCGCCGTCGTTCTCTCACGAGAGTCAATTTGTTGTGGATATTCTCTCGAGGTGGTGGAAAGTGTAAAACGGCGACACGCCGCGTTGGATACTGAGATCTACGCTTTTCTCCAAAGATCCACGTTTTTTTTTTTTTTCCAAGGCAAAGCTTCTACAACAAATGATCGCATGCATGTACCCGTAGTACTTGAATGTTTGCATACGGCCGAAAAGGAGCCCATGTGGCCAAACGCAAGCGACGATTGGGCCGCACTCACTAGGTCTGAAGAAAGCTATAGAGTATGTATATTTTCTATAAAGATAGAGAGAACGAAGTCAAAACATATGTACACGGCAGTCTACCCCTGCCGGAGCGCGTTTGAGGACAAGCAGCAGCAGTGCATGCATGAACGCCGACAGTCGGTTGCTTTCTGAAAGAGAGGTGTCATCACGCCTTGCTCGCAACTCCGCACCAGACGGCCGGTCGGCGGAGTACGTAACCATGTAATATCAAGGCAGTTGTTGTTAGGAGGGCCAAATTCGCCGGCGGAATCTGTGTGTGTGTGTTGCATAGGGAAGGAACCTTTGTTGGCATCTCACACAACCCGTAGGTGACACAAGATACCACACCCCCTAGACCCATTTCAACTAATACTATATGCTCCATGACCAAGACGATGCCCAAATAAAAATATGTGTTTTCGGAAAGATCTCGACAAGGCGGTTCCACCACCGCCATTTTAGACACCGCCACTCTTTCTCCAGGGGAGTAATCGAGCTTGAAAATCGGTCCAGGGGGTGTGGTATCTTGTGTCACGTACCGTAGGTGGCATATGCATTTGTTTTTGTGCGCACACGCGTTGTACAGCATCCCTGCATTTAGCAGGAAGGAGACAGATGAAGCCTGCTTGTCAGGTCGACAAGTTTCCATCGTCTAAGAGAGTGTTTTGCCGCTTCTTAAAGGGTAACCGGTATCGATGACATAGATCTACACGGCACATAGCATACGACGTTTACCGTTACCACTTTGGTGCATGAAATGAAACCAGACTTGCAGTTGAGTGACCCGGGTGCACGGCCACACAAAACGATCACTGGGGGAGAGCCGCCGCCGCTGCCGCCAGAAATGCTTTTTCAGAACAACAAGGCACACCCGAGTGTCCCATTTCAAGTTGGATCCGAACAAACTCATCTCTTACAATGAGCGGGGGAGGCATACAAACCGAACGAAGTTGATCCTTTGGGCACAGACTCTTGACCGAACCAAATGGCAGTGTATTAACCGCATCCCGACAACAAATGATGACGAGTTCTTTGTACAAGACAACACGGCGACAGAAGTAGTTGCAGCGCGACAAGGAATAAGAGCTACGCCTAAAACAGTCTCCTCATCCTGCACCAACAAACCGCAGGACATACTACTTGAGACAATTTACGGATAGAAGCCGGCACACTCACGTGGCTTCGCGCTCGATCCCACGAAAAAAACGAAGAAACGTACCGTCCCACCCCACCCATCGCACACACCTACGGTAGTATAACCCAAATCCTAAACAAACGCACCAAGTACTAACCCCTCTGAACGTACGATACAAGCATCAAGGAGGCACTAAGGGGTGTGTGCAAACAAGTGATTTTGGACACGCGTCCTGCTGCTGGTACACCACCATCTACAAGGCGGTCTGCCGCTGTACCCGATCGCCTTGACACGAACACTGCCGCCAGCTGCGTGCATTTCTCCCACTGCTGTCTGTCCGCCTCGAGTCCACGACCGTTTCGTGCTGACATCGTACTAAAACTTGGTGCACAGCAGGGAGTCCTGTCCGGCTGCAAGCCGAAGATTCGACCACAGGAAAGAGAAAAAGAGATCCGAATCCCAAGAAAAAAGAGGCAAGGCTCTTCCGGCCCGGACACTGGCACAAACTACATGTGTCGATCTTTCCCCCCCTTCTCTCACAAATCGGTATCTATGCATACCGCATGTGCCATCCTACGTCCTATCCAAGCTGTAGCTCAAGAGCCACAACTGCTGATGCTCGTGTGCGTGCCTCTCGACCTGTTCGTCGCCGCCTCTATAAGATCAATCTGTCTTGAGTCCACCGCCGCTGGTGTCCGTGATAAACTTGGCGTACAGCAGGCTGTCTGGCTGCACGTCCATGTTGAACGTCGCGTAGATCGCCAAGAAGCCCATGAGGGCGAGCCCCACCCCCGTCCACATGTTGAGCTGGAACTGGGTGATTTCCACGAGGGTAGTCTCATTGGTCGCGGCGGATGATGATGAGTCATCGTCGCCTGGAACAGACAAAAAAAAAATCGTATTCAAGATTAACAAGAGAAGCCCCTCCGACAATCAGCAAAAGAATGCAGGGCCGAGGGAGTTCGGCGAGAGAAACTGCACAAGGGAATCGTCGGGACACGAGAAAGGCGAGCACGAGCACATGACGCCGCATCTGCATGGTGGACCCGTGGGGTCTCCGTGACTACCGAATAAAAGGAGATGACGCATCGGAGACATGACAACCACAACACGTACGCACACGTTTGGCCCGCACATCACACACATCTGCGCATTTGATCGTTATTCGGCGTTTGTAAAGCCCAACTATTGGACTTCGTTCACACCAAAGAGTGTCTCATCGCGCGATACATCAGGCACGAAATACACACGGATCGCGAGGTTCAGCAAAGGCGGCTGAAAAAAGAAAAACACGCACTTTGAAGGCGGCGGCCGCCGACGGCGAGCTTTTGCGACAGGGCCGGGCCGACGATGAGCTGCGAGGTCAGGCGGCGGCCCGCTCCAGCAGACATGGCGTTGAATGCTTCGCCAAGCGCGGCGTCGAGGGCCTTCGACGCCAATCTTGCCTTGATAGACCGCGCACCGTAGGAGGTGTTGATCGCCTTCGGCAAAATATGCGCGCGGGGAGGGGGGGGGGGGGGGCGAAGGGAATCAAATCAAGGACCGAACGGCGGCGCACAAGACGATCAACCAAAGCCTTTAAAAAAAACAGCAAGCAGCAAGTGGAAAAACGGCACTGAGATAGCAAGGGTGTTCTCCAAAAAATGCAACATGAAACCGTCACCAGGAAGTCTTCTTCAGAAACAAAGCATCAGGTTCGACACACGTTTCAGTGGGGAGGAATGGGTGGATAGTGGGTGGAATGGAGCAACAGTCGTAGCTTCAGCAGCAAATCCCCCGCCCCTACCTTGAGAGAAGACAGGTATACTATCACCAGGGGGGGGGACCCCGCGCGTCCGGCGACAAGCCGCTCCGACAGAGCCTCGGGCAGTCTGGACAAGAAGATCAGCTCTTCCACCAAGCGCACGTCAGCCTGCGCACAAGAGAGAGTGCAACAACAAGAAAACACACACACACCGGAAATCCAACGATGGGAGAAACGCCATCTTAAGTGTTTATCTCACATGGTGTGGAACCCCAACACAGAGGCGACAACATTCTCTCTCTCTCTCTCTCTGTCTCCCTCTCTCTCTAACTCAGTCACAGGTTGAGCAGCATGCTCCCCTCCCTCTTAATGGTATCGCCGCATCAAGAAATTCACATATCGAAAGTACCCCGAATCGCAGATCCTTCTGCAAGCAACAAGCACTTGTTGCATACTGGCAACGAACCAGCTCTTTCAGTCAACATACACATAGCGGAGAAAAGGTGTTCTGAGCTTGGTCTGTTCTATCTACCGATGCGTAAAAAAACAATGTTTTTCATCAGAAGAAAGAGTAGCGCTATACATTAGGCGACCAGCAAGGTCCACAAAACTTGAACAACACGGACGAGAAACACACCGTGCAACACGTTGGGGCGTAGGGACAACACACGACTCACGTCCACCGTCAGGTCGAGCACCGCGGCGTCCTCCTCCCCCTCGTCCGCGCCCGACAAAACGAGCGTCCGGAGGCCGCTCGACGTGTCCACCGTCACGCCGGTCGGCGAGTTCCCCTCCCCAAGCGCCGCATCAGCGGGCGCAACCTCCAGCAGGCCGCCCGACGACGAACACGCCTCCGTGTAGCCCAGCGCCGGGTCTACGGCAGCGCAGATTACGCCGCTCACCGCGTCCACAACTGTGTGATGCAAAACGTGGGGAGAGGGGGAGAAGAGAGAGACAGAGACAGAGACAGAGACAGGGGCAGACGGACAGAGTTACACAGAGAAAGAGAGAGAGAGAGGTCCAAACCAAACTCATGCGTGAAGAAAACGAAGAGCGCGTTCTACAGTAGCAGCCATCGGTTGCAATGCATGTGCTGAGCCACCACACCAGACAACCAACAAAAGCGCACGCTCTGTCCCTCCGGCAATATTTAGTATAGGGTGCTGCATCGTCTGTCTGGTGGGACACCCCCGAAGCGAAACAACCCGGTTGTGCGCAGCATCTGCTGTACCAAAGACCCACCGTCGAAGGAAGTGCCGAGGGTACTCTCGAGCCCGGACGTCCAGGCGTCATTGGTTGGTGTCCTAAGGCCGTATACCGCAGTCGGCTCCTCGAGCCACTCCGTCATGAACGGCGTAGATGTAGACCCTTGATTTTCCCGAGTGCCGATGGGGGGGGGGGGGGGGGGGGGGG